CTGTGTCTCGGGCTAGGGGGACATTGGAAACGGGTATGTACACCTTAACTAAAAAGAACTATTGCACAAGTTTCATAATTTTTGAAAGAACAATTTAGTTACAACAATTAATACAAGAATTAAAAGAAAGAAAGTGGGTGACATCATGATACATCTATAACCTAATAACCTTCTATCTTCTATCTTCTATAACTAAATAGGAGATCCCCACTACAATATTTTCTCTTGCTTCTCATGCTGCCACGTCATCAGAAATCGGCCAGCGTATGTCTTCATAGCTCCTTCCGCCTTCACTACGTGGCCACCATCGAAAGTGAAGGATTTGAATCGTCGTTCTGTTTCAAGCAGCCCTCTGAAGCATACAAATTAATCTCCACCAAGCAAGCATTAATTCGATGCAGTATGTGCCTGTGGGCATATGAAGGATCATGGTTCTGCTCGTGTTCCTCTACATGTATAACGATGACACTGGTGGCCTGACGCTGAAAAAGCTTCACGTCCGAGACCTGGAGTCACGGAGAGGCATGATCCACATGCCACCCGGCCCTGCCGCCCGCCGTGCATACCAGCAAAGAGCAGCAGATGCATGGAGCACACCATCATCGTCGTACAGCAGCTGAGCGGCGAGCATGATCAGGTAAGCGGGATATTTTCAATTTTTTATTGCTTAATTGCTTATTGTTTAATTTTTTTGTTCAACGAGCACCCAGCAAGAACTTAATTTTTTTCATCACACCTTTTGTACTATTTGTTTCATTAGCTAATTATTCACTCACCCTATCTCAATTTTATTTGATCGTCCGCTGCGCCGTGTGGGGGCATACAAAGGATCATTGTTTGGCCTTTTTTTATATATCTATTTATGGCTTTGTTCTCCACCATGAATTGTGATGCTATGATGCTCCCTCAGGAGGCGGTGGATCTTCTCTTATTATCAGCGGTGATATACTCATGCTTCATGTCTCATTTTTCCGGTTAGGAGAGACACCAGAGTTTGTTGCCAAGCCCAACAATGAAGTGCATGTTCCTCATTCTCCTGAAAGGATTTTTATTTATTTTCCATGTCGCGTGGATTAAGATTGGTTCTTTATATTTTTTCCACTTGAATGTCCTGTAAAATACATGCGGGCTTCGCATGATGTAAATCATTTCATCAATCTTAGTTTCAAATTTTAATTGTAGCCAAGATGCTTGGGCTGCCTAATCGATATAATAATTAAAATTTTCTTTTGTTTGCCCAAGCCTATTGATTTCATATGATGCTTCTTATGTACGATAATTTTCTTCTATATAACACACCAATATCCCGCAGCAACGTATGGGGTATTATCTAGTACTAATAATAGCAAAGACATACTGGAGGTCACCGGTAAGCCGGATTTATCGGAAAATTCCACAGTCAAAATTTAAAAAAAAACAATTGCTCAATTTCTCTACAAAATTACATAAGTTGTATCTGAAGCATTTAACACCAAGAACTATAGTATATAACAACATTAATATGATAATATATTTATATAATAAATATCACACACTTTCATATAGCCGGGCTACTAAAGTTGGATTTTCGGTTGACAATAAATTTCACCAGATTATTCTAAAGTGATATTAATCTATATCTATACCTAATAATAAGGAGGCAAAATTTCTCCCACAATTTTTTTTGTCCAACTTCGATCTCTACTCAGATTCTGATTTCTTATCCGGTAATCCTCTTTCAAAGTGTCGTTCAATTTGGATCTAATTTTTAATAATTTTTCTATCCATAATTTTCCTTTCCTTGATTTGTGTCCCCACCTCCAACGTGATGAACTCCCCGTACGAATCCGGAGAAATCGAATACAATACAATGACTCAATAAATAAATATGGATGCAATAGGAGAAATCGAATCTATCTATACTATAAAGAGCGAAGAAATTGAAAATAGCCTCTCGCCATGATATTTCAAACCACCTTAATTATTGTCCCTTAGATCTTCATTAAAATTAGATCCAATGCATCTAAATTATCCACCGTGATCTGACAAGTAGACCCAGCTAGAAAACTTGTAAACATTTACGCGTGTTTATCTCTTGCCGATGTTTTCCGTTGATTTTTTTTCTCACCATCCTCCACACCTACCCGCCCGCCATACCCACGCATACCCGCCCGCGTATCCCAGATCGGCGGCGTCGTGGACTTACGTAAGGCTTTGACCCTGCATCGGATTTCGTTCCCGGTTCAATCTAATTTTCTCCCCTTTTCCTCGACAGAATCCCCTAGCAAGCAAACTCGATGCGTGACGTGAAGGGGATGGGGGGCGCACTTCCTCGGCGACAACGATGTCGCAGCCATGCGGGCCACGACGCCGAGGTGGATTACCACGACGTCGGAAAGATGGAACATGGGTGAGCGAGCGCGCCTTCATTATCTTCTTGTCCCGTGCCTCATTGACGTCTCCGCCTTGGATCATCTCCTCTTCAATCTCGCCTCACCGGCCGCCGTGTTCCGATCCTCCCCACGCAGGTGATGTGTTCTGCCTATAATCATTATCTCACTTCCGCACTCTGATTGATGATTCCTGCACTAACAGCTGATGATCAGGGAGTATATGATCAGGGAGTACAGTTTATTTTAATGGGATCAACTGTACAGCCGTTCGATTTTTTTTTATCCGATCAACCGTACAGCCGTAGAAAACAATATATTGCTATTTTTTGGATCCGCTTGACTGAAACTGGCTGCGGCCGTCCTCCCTGGTGAAGCACGAACCTCTCCAAATCTCTCCCAGCGAGTCAAGGTAATTATTTGAGGAGGCAAGATTAATGTCTTCTTCGTTTTAGTTTGATCATATAAGTGTCCCAGTAATGCTGTGGTGATCCCAACAATTAGTTTGTGGTAACAACTATCGCTCTCGATATATCGTGCAAGGTGAACCTTGCGGCATATTATTAGTACCAATGCAACAATTCTAAATTTATGATGGCGTATTGAAATGTCTTAACCCTGAAAATTTTATATGATAGTTTGTTTTCATGTAAATTATCAACCGTCTTGCCCCTCTCATTTTCTGATTTGGGATTTGCAGTTTTTGTAAAGTTGAGGCTATAGACCTACATACAGAACAAGCTCCATACTTGCAGACCAATGATAGTTCAAAACAATTTGTTCTACCCACGACATGTGCCTTGTCTCAATTTATCATGTTTAGATTACACATTATACCTTACTAGCATAGGTGTTTAAATATTATCATTTCTGCATATTTATTTCCAAGATAGCACGTGCTACTTGTTTTCCTAATTTGTAGACTGTTGTGATCTAGGATTTTCAACATGTCGAGGATTGAAATTTATTTTCACCTATGCTCATTTACTTAATTTTTGCTCGAGGATTGGAGTTTTGGCAGGTTGATTGCATATCAAACCAGAATACAAGGGTAGGTTCCAGGCCACTATATATGATGTCTTCATAACCGATGGAAGGTATGCACAATACGAAGAACCCAAACCCCTTTTACGAGGATGTAACTTGATGTTTTCTAATCTCGTCCTTGTTAGCTTTGTCTCTGAAATTGTTTTTATGCCTTGCGCTATGCACAAGAGGACGAACTCTACTATCATTGTTCAATAGCCTTGTTTTTTCTAACCTTTCATCTATTCATCAAATTTTCACACAAAATACTATATATTATGCTTGTATCGAAGGCACACTTAAGTTCTTTAATTTTGTTTATACTTTTCCTCAAGAAACCTTGTAAAAAAAAAAGATGTGTAAGAATCAAATGAACTATCTAAGACATGATGCTATTGCACCAAGGATTGTCGGGATGAACTTGCTCAATCCTTGAGAGAACATCCATTGATGGCAAGGAGGAAGCGTCGGGTCGCTGCCCAGGAACAAATAGCATGTTAGTACTTTTATATTTTACTGAGTCCATTCATTAAGATACAAAGTACAAAACAGACAAATGACAACTAGGAACTGGCCTAATTTAATTTCTAAATACTCCAAGCCTGGAGTGTATAGATAATAAAGTTATTGAATTACAATTATTTTGTGATTTATTTCATTGTTTCTTTGATTACTATATTTGAGAATCAACACTTATGACTATACAAGGAATTTTGTGGGTTCATGTATTTGAATGTAAGGGTTGTAGTTTAAAAATCTAGATGATTGTCTAGCTAGGTCTCATCAAGAAATGCACATGTTGATTATTGTATGGTTTACTTTAGTCTAAAGCAAACACGCAGTCAGCTCCTTTGAAGATTGAGGGTGGATTATATACTAAAACATAGTAACTTAGAAAATATATGTTCAGAGGACCCCCCCAGTTAATCATATTAAATTTTGTAAAAAGAAAAGTTGACTTTACTCACTCTTTTTGCTTCTAAACTTTGAATTGATTATTCATGGATCTTTCTGTAATCAAATTTTCCAATTACGCAGGTTTGTGTTCTGATGATGAGAACCGGAGACCACTGCACTCCATACAGAATAAGAGGAGATAATAGAACATAGAGCGGAAGCAGCACAAAGAGATAGGTGAAGGTGACAAGAATGAATCCAAAGTCCTCCGTAAAAGTGTTTCAAATCTGCAATTCAGTGATTGTGTATACACAACCATATAATCTTTGTAATATAAAATTCTTTTACCGTATCAAAGCCATTTCACCAGATTTTTTTTCAAGTTTAACACGTGTGCGTCGCATGTGCCCCTCTATTATTTCTCAAAAAAAAATTGTTAATTCTTTCTTGTAAATAATTTTGTTTTTTATAGACACATGCGTGTCGCACGTGCATATCAACTAGTACAATAAAACGACTCAATAAATAAGCTGAATATAAATTGGGTTAAATTGAACACCAATTAAACCAAATACGCAAGGCACCATATCAGCACAGGCGAGGCGGCGCGAAAAGATGCTTAGACCGGAACGACAATGGTATGAGGCGTTGAGACTACGGCTTGGGCAACGGAGGGCCAACCTAACGCGGCGAGGATGGGTGACGGCGATGACGCGGGGGAGGTCGAGGACAGAGTTGACGACGACGGGGGTGAGGCTGCCAAGTCGTTGGGGCGTGCGGCCACTGGGTCTCCGTCACATGTACCTACAAGGCTGTGGGGATGCCGTCGCGTGGATCTATCGGGGTGTGGTCGCGTGGCTCCGTGTCCGCCGGGGTGCTATGACCGTCAGCCCGTCAGGGCTCTATGGCCGCCTTGGCAAGGCTTCAAGCGTACAAAGTTGGAGGCCTCGGGGTGTGAGTGGATGAGGCCACGTGACTCTGACTTCGAGCTAGCAGATAAGGATGAGAAAGAAGAGAAAAAGAAAGAAAAAAGAAAGAAGATAAAAAAATAAAAAAGAAAGAAAAGAAAAGATATATAGGGTATTATGTTTCCCCGTTGATTAATTGTGTGCTATTGGTCTCGACTTTAACAAAATTTGCATGATGAAGTGTTTATACACTATATAAATTCACTGGTACGTAGTATGCTCCATTATATTTATTGATTCTTTAGTGAAAGTGAAAATGTGCGCCCCTGGCCCTTCGTGCTCACATGCGCTATGGCATAGATGCCATTGCTTACTTAAGTAGAAGAAAATATATTGAGTCAAAATTATATATATACGTTTTTAGCATAACGTTGAGTGCAATAAAAATATAATGATGTAAATAAAAAACTATAGCTTTCAAGATAAATAACACATAGATATCAAAACTTTGGATGATGCTATACCATTCCTCCCGTTACAACGCGTACGGACACTTTTGCTAGTACAAGAGAATATCACACTTATATATATATATATATATATATATATATATATATATATATATATATATATATATATATATATATATATATATATATATATATATATATATATATATAGGTGGAATATATCGCTAGTACAAGTGGGATCTTAGGTGACAAATAAATTTTACCGGATCTCAGCGCGCGCGATAAACAGAACCACGACAGATGTAGTGGCACAACTTGGCAAATCTCCCCCAGAAAGTCTCGGCAGGCCTCGCGTGATGGCGCTTGCACAGGTGGTCGTCGCACTTGCAGAGCATCCCCAGCCTCGCCAGGTCGTGCGCCTGCACGACCTTCTCCTTCACGGTCCGCTCCCGGACGAGGGTGACCGTGCACCGGACGGCGAGGCAGTCGTCCCTGAGGAACATGGAGCGCTCCAGCTCCTCCACGCTGATGAACCGCGGGAGACCCCAGCGGCAGTAGTTATCCTTGCCCCCAAAGGTGCGTACGCCCTGCGACGTCTTGCTCGGCGAGCCTTGGTGACCGTACGCCGGCGGCGTGCCTTGCTGACGCACCAGAGCGAACTCGAACTCGGCGAGGACGACGGAGTCACTACAGAGGTTCAGATACAGCGAGACGAAGCCTGCGTTCTCCTTGCTGTTGCCGTTGAGGTAGCAACGGATCTTCCAGGTGTGACCTCCGACCTTGGACACACTGGACTCTATGTAGCTGCCGTTCTCGCGGTGCGTCCCCTTGAGCCGCGAGTAGCCCTCGAGCTTGAGCATGAGGTGACCGGTGGCGACCGCCGTGGCGGCGACGGTGCACACCGAGACCTCCTCCTCCTCCGGAGACGACGTGGCGGCACCTGCATCTAAGGGCATGTAGCTGACCGGTAACGGCGACATATCGCCGGATTTTTGTTATTTGTTACTAAACACACACGGCGGCGGCGACGACCTACGTACTCTTCTACGATCGACGATGCAGATGACAAGGTTTGGAAGGTTTATTTCTGCAGATATATACATAGCAGCTCTCTTGTTTCTGAAACCGGATCGGATTCTAATATTTGACTCGATTACATGTTGCTTCTAATAATCTAATAATAAAAGAATTTACAATCCTTGTCGGTCACGTACAACTAACTCCTCAAGGTGCCACTACGAGTCAGGGACTCACGCTTCAAAACTTCGACTAAACTTTTGCTGGAATTCAGAACGGAAGGACAAGCGACGGCGTGTCCTGACGCACCTCCCACGACCCGTCCGAAAATACGGAAATAAGCCCCGCCCGCATCCATCCTGCGCCAGCATGCCCTACCCGCGTCCCGGACACAGCACCGTTGCCCGCATCGCACCACGCCCCAGCCCCGCGTCCCATCCCGCTCCAGCACCGCCGAAGTCCACGTCCAGGTTGAGCTTGAACTGCCGCGGCGAGATGGAGGGAGAGGAGAGGAGAGGGCGAGGCGCGCTGCGCGAGGTAGGAGCCGAAGCCTTGCGGTAGGCCGCTTGCTGTCAGCCAACCACCAGTGTCATTGCAATATATACAACACCCAATCTACTTTTAAAACATCTAGATGAAATATTTGCAACATGCGTCTAAAGACAGGTGAAACATTTCAAACATGTGTCTGAAACACTTGCAAAAACCCTTGAAAACACTTGAAAAGCTAGTGCAAAATATAAGCAACATCCAAATAAAACACTTGCAACATATATATGAAACATCCAAATAAACACAATTACAACATATGTCTGAAAAAAAATAGATGAAATATTTGGAACAAGATATTTGCAACATATGTGTATAGCCTTTGCAACATATGCAACATTCCGATCTACTTTTGCAATGTCCATATGAAACACTTGCAAGATACCTTTAAAACATCTGAAACACTTAAAACATACTCATGCAACATGCGTTTTTCACCCTTCTTCTTCCGTACGATGCAAAGCAGAGTGGGAGAGCAGCCGGTTCTGGCCAGCCGATTGCTGAGGATGGTGGCAAGGCCTGCCAGTTACCAGCTACGCCTGTGCCAGGCCTGGGTCCAGACAGACGCCCGCGTCCCATCGTTACCGAATTCTGAATCTCATCACTTTCGCTCTAGATACTCATGACAAGTAGGGAGGCCGATACACCATATGAGAGGCGTGCGGCAGGGAGACAACCTCTCTCCCCCCTTGTTTCTATAACACTATAGCCATATTTTGAGTTCATAGGACATACAACAGAGATACTACATAGAGAACACATATTTTTGTCATTTTTGTGTACTTTTACTATTTTAAAACTATTAAACACGCCTATTACAAGATAAATTAATTACTCAGTAAATATGTATCCATTGGTCATGAAAGTTTTACCATAGCAAAAACATACTAACACTAGCTTACCAACAAAATTGAAAAGCATTTGGACTACTAAAACATGTGCTCTACTAATTTATCAAGGAAAACATGGATTCTCAAATAGAGCAAAAACTTTATAGTAAAACATGTGATATTATATTATATACGCACAGACTGGGCAGGGCGGCCCAAGCGTGGGGGAGGCAGGCCGGCCCAGCTCGGCAACGGCCCAGCTAGCCGGGGAGACCAGGCGAGGATGGCACTTTGCATGAAAGCCGCTGGACTTCTCCTAAACTTTTCCACAGACCAAAGACTCTTGCTCACTATTCATATGAGTCAATAACTTCACATTTAACACCCTGCGTACGTTTCTATTCATTCACTTCCCTTTCCTCAGAGCAGGGGATGGCGCGGACGGCGATGGCCGGCGTGGATGCCGACCGGGGCAGGGCCTACCGGCAGCTGCGGGTGGCGCTGGGGCAGCAGTGGCCTCGCGCGCACGCGTGGGTGGGGCGACTCGGACGGGCGCGGCCGGTGGTAGCCCCGGACGCCTGCGCCGGCGGCTCGCGGCGGTAGCAGCTGCAGCGGCGGCGCTGCGTGGCGTGGCAGCCGGCAAGGGCGGGCTTCCCGGCCGGGGCAGCGCACAGCGCGGCAGCCGGTAGCGGCCCGAGCAGGGGCCGAGAGCAGGGGCAGCGTCGGGGACTGCGCGGCGGGCTCGCGGAGTCGCCGTGGCGGTGCTACGCGCTCGGGGCCTTCGCGCGCGTTCGTCGCCGTGTTCGCGTTTTTCCTGCTTGTGCTGTGGGGCGCCAGCAGGCCGCACATCGTCGTCAAGGTCCGTCTCTCGTAGCGTACTCCTGTAGTCAGCTCGTTTGTTCTCTTCGCAAGCAAAATATTTTGGCTGAATTGCAGTCAGCGTGTTGAGTGAGGCGAGACATAGCAACACTTACGTACGAGTGGTACGCTGATCCAACATACTGCGGTTTTAATATTATAAGAAAGAGGGGATACAGACATTTTTGCAGTAACTTCTATGTTAAGAATCATTTAGAAATTCAATGTTTTGGCACCCAAACTACAACCATGAAGCCAAGTTATTTGAGGGCTTCATGATGTTGGAACAATTATGTAGTTACTTATATGGTGTTTTCAGTACAGCAATTTTGCCATCGCCATATACCAACTTAACATTAGTCGTATCGAACTATGAAAAGAAATATCAAAGTCCAGTGTTAGTATTCACTCCGTTTCAAATTATAATTCGTTCGACTTTTTTGACCACAAGTTTGACCGCTCGTCTTATTCAAAAAAATTGTGCAAATATGGTGAAATTTAAATCATTCTTAAAGAACTTTTGTTAATAAAGCAAGCCACAATAAAAGACGTGATATTTAACACAAATTTTTCAACAAGACGAGTGGTCAAACATAGGGTAAAAAAGGTCAAACGAACTATAATTTAGAACGGATTTAGTACTTTTTAGTTGTGATTTTTAGAGAACATTCGGGTCAGCATACAACCTTTAATTTATCCTTTTTTTCATTTGCAATCCGAATGTATGTTTCATTCTGTATGCATGTTCTTCGTGGCAACATAGACCGAATGAACAAGTGCACAACGGCATGCGCGCGCCTTCCCTATCGCGTGCCGTCCAGAGCTGCTCCAAGATTCGTGCCAGTCAACTCTCCCTTTTCCCACCTCCCATTCCCTCCCCCGCTTTCCCACCTTTCCCGTTCGTTACCCGTTCCCTGCGTGCTGTCCAGAGCAGCTGTCGTCAGTTTGCTTTTCTTTCCATTCCCGACTCTCTCTCTATCCTTTTTCCTTCTCATCTCTGTGTTCTTTATTTACTTTTCTCCCACACATATGTACCATATTAGGTCATATCATTCTCATCTTTTTTCTTTATTTACTTTTCTCCAGGCTACCATTATTTTTAGCGCACGTTGTTTAACCATATATACATAGGTGGTGGAGAAATAAGTCATAGTTCTTGTGAATAGGGCAAATCAAATAGCAAAGCACCTAAATTCTCTTTAAAAGAAAGCAACGGAAGATCTTAATTGACAACAGAATAAGAGTGTAAAAGCAGTATCTGTACACTGTACGCAGAAGCAAAGCAAGATCTGAGCAGTAGGAGCACGCTTGCTGTGTGCGGGCTTGGAGCGGGCCTGACCTTGTTGGCCTAGCTGCTGGCCGGTGGCTGCGGTCCTTGCGGACAGTCGCAGTCACAAACGACGGAGTTGCGGAGGGCAGCGATGGAGCGAGATTGAGAGAGCCAGCGGCAAGACACAGCTTGAGCTTGTGGCCGTCGGTTCCGAGATATGTGGTCAATAGTATACAGCCCACTATGGCCCTCATGTAGTTCCGCCGGTGGTTCCAACGGCAAGACAGTAACGGAGAGCAGCGTCTGGACGTGCGGACACCTGCGCTGCTGCCTGCTCGTTTAATGATACCCTTATGGCGCATATGGATGCAGCAGCTTCGTGCTCCGCGCCTACTGTCTACCCATAGATGCAGCTTCGTGCTCCGCTTCGCCTCGTGCTCCATGCCTGTTGCCTGCCCATAGATGCAGCTTCGTGCTCTGCGCCTGTTACCACGCCCGTGGATACAACTTTGTGCTCCGTGCCTGTTGCCACGCCCGCTTCGCTTGCCGCGTGCACACGAGGACCGCTGCGCCTGAGGGGAACACCTTCGCCTGTGCCCCCTTGCCGCGTCTGCTCATTAAACACTTGCAACATAAAACATTTATCGCAACATACGTCCAAAACAGATGAAACATTTACAACATACGTTTGCAACATATGTGTATGGACACTTCAACATATGCAAAATACAGATAAAACACTTGCAACATATGTTTGAAACAGCTGAAACATTTAAAACATACACTTGCAACATACATTTATAGCCAATGCAACATATGCAATATCTAGACAAAAACACTTGCAACATACGTTTAAATCAGCTGAAACATTTGAAACATATAGTTTCAACACACGTGTATAGTCATTGCAACATATGTAACACCAGATCTACTTTTGCAACATCCAGAGAAAACATATGCAACACACATCTGAAACGCATGAAACGTACGGTTGTAACATGTGCCCATCTACTTGTTGCCCCCCCCAATGGACGCTCGTTGACGCGGAGCTTGATGCTGGCACGGAGCTTGATGCCACGACACGGAGGTCGGACCTCGATTGTGTGCAGAGCGAGTGCGGGCAGGAGGCGTGAGGTGTGGCGGAGCGCAGGACGAGGCACGAGGCGTAAGCGGCGCGTGGCGCGTGTGGGGCGCGCGAGGCGCGAGGCGCGGGGGCAGGCGGGTCCATCCCCTCCGGCCCGACGGGTGACAGTAAACAGCCTGGGCTTCATATCACAGCAAACACGCGGACAGTGATCACATCACATCAATAGAGATAAAGAAAAATGCAAGAAAACTGTGGCATTGCAGAAATACCAACAAACAGTATAGTCATATTCAGCACAGGTACGATATGTTTGGCAAGAGTACATTATTGCTTTTGAGCTGAAGTGAGAAATAAAACAAGACAAAAGGAGCATCGTCCAAAAACAAGAGAATATAAGTAGTTATTTAATTTGTGCTGGGTAAATGGGGTAGGACTAAGATAGCAATCACAATGAGGTTCCTAACCAACTACCCTTTCTGCTTCTTTCTCAAGATCAAAGAGGAGAGGCCAGGCCATCTTCCTCAGTCCATGATCCCTCCCAGTCCCAGCAAACAGTACACAACTTTCAAGGTTGGACATGATTTTCCTAGCCTTACACAGCGACTTCACGAATTCCTGGTGTTTGAAGTGCTCAGTATACTGGTTGCGCTGCATCATTGATAAGGCTATCTGACCGCAAAGCTTCACAATATTGAGACTGCAAACTGTGGCCTGACAGTTCTCTTCTACCATACTCTTGAGCTTCGCCACAAATGCTGAGCCATTGTTTTGAAGCGCAATGCTGAAATCTGCATTTTCCAGTTTAGCATACATCACAAGAGTAAGCGACAGAAGTTTTTCTTGCAATGCCTTTGTAGCAGTTTGCCCCTCATTTCCTTGATCAGATGACTTATTTTGGTCCCTTGATGAAGGAGTCTCTCCCTGAGTAGGAATGTTTTGGTTTTCTTCATCTTGTCCCTGAGTAGGAATGTTTTGGTTTTCATCATTATTGCTTTGTGTGTTTTCTCTTTCAGAGGACATTATTATTGGGAGAACCTGCCGAGTAATGTGACTTTGTTTAAGGAATAATTGGAGGAAAATTTAAATAACCACCCACAAGATACTATTAAGTTGGAATGGAAGCTTCAAATGTTGTTTCTATGGCCACAAATGAAACAATTCAACATTTTATTCTTTGACATGTGACTTTGCATGCAAACACTATATGGCGCATTGTGAATGTTTCATTAGGAATAAACTAGCATAGAAACATAACCTATGTGATGAGTTACCTAATGGTATAGGGCAAGCAAAATAAATAAATAAATAAAAATAGAAGGATTTTATTAGGTGTGGCATATTCGTGGTGCTAGAGTCTAGAAATGTTTGAATTTGCTGAACAGACTTGGGCACGTACGCACCTTTGGCAGCAATATATCCTTCACACGTTGTTTGCCACAGTGTGCACACATATTCTCCAAGATCTCCGCTGCTATCATCCTGTATTTGATTTTGATGTTCTTATCATCAAGAATTTGAACTAGACGATCGAAGCTACTCTCATCTGCACATTTGGTTAACACTAGTACGTGTTCTCCCAGCGGTGGCTCTAAGGTCCCCTTCACCGGTAAGGAAGATGTGCATCTGCTTCTTCATGAGAGCTCTTTTTGTTTCCCTGGGTAGGTCGATAGACAGATCCAAGGCCAGTTCTGTCAGGATCTCCATCGCTCGCATCTTCAGCTCCTGTTGGGCTTCCTGACGAACAATAATGGTGTCGAGGTTGCTCATTGCTTGCTTGTTTGAGGAGATCTCAGTGCGCAGCCTTGCGCTGGTCTCCCCGGGAGCATGGATGAGCTGGTACACAACCTTGAAGGTGGCGTTGGCAACATGGACCCAGTCGGCGATGCCGATACCTTGGACGAACCTGCCGGAGTAGAGCGGCGCCGTGATCTTGGCGAGGAGACCGCTGCTGCCGCTTATCTCGCCGCGGTTGTGGTGGTCAGATGCGAGCCTCTCCAGGATCGCCAGGCCTTGCAGGATCAGCTCGTTGCAGGCACCGCTGCCGCCTCCTCGCTGCTGCTGCTGCTGTTGCAGCTGCTGTTCCTGCTGCTGCTGCTGCAGGCGAACACCATCACGTTGTAGTCTCTTGGGGAGTTTTTTCTGGTGGCGTGCTTCCCGTTCTCGTTCCCTCCTTTCGAGTCGAAGGATCATGGCCTGTTTCTCTGATGCAAGCCTCCTCTGTGGATGATGGGTGAGCCCTTGTTGGTCGCTGTACGCCAGCGTGGCCTCGTCCTGGAGAAGGTAGGATATGCACTGGATGGCACCGGGGAACTGAGCCAGGTGGAGGCCGCCGGCGAGGTGCGCCACGATGCGTGCAGCGAGCTTCCTCATCTCTGCGTCCTCCGGTCGCCGGCCTTCTCTCCATCCCAGCGAGTCGATCAGCTTCTGGATCTTCGGCCTGGAAGGAAGAAGCAGCGACCTCATGTCGCACCCCTGCCTGATGAACTCGTCCAGCAGCCTCGCCCCCGACAGGTTGTCATCCCACGACCCGGAGTCCAGCAAGCTGACGGCGTAGTCGACGAGCTTCCGGCCACGGATCGACGAGAGGTTCCGCCAGCATCTCGCCCTGGTGTCGCAGAGGAACTCCACGAGCGCCAGGCGGCACCATGCCGTGTTGGGCAGCTTGCAGTGTTGACGGAGCGTTATGAGGTGGTCTACCCACCAGGACTCATGGTAGAGCCAGACCAGGAGGAGCCCGCCTTGGAGGAGGACCAGGGAGTAGAACATGTCCAGCGCCGGCGCCAGGTTCGCCTTGTCGTCCCCGCCGCCGCCGTAGTCGCGCTGCACCGTGCGCCAGATGGCAAGCGCGATGCAGGCGACGGGCCCGCCATACACGTAGAGGAAGGCAGGGACGTAGCACATGACCAGGAACGGCAGCACCGCCAGTCCAACGAAAGCAACGGAGGCAACTCTTGCAGCTACCGTGGCCAAGGGATCTTTGTCTCTAAACGATTCGGTCACATGCAGCATTCGATGACGCAGAACGACACGGTTGTGGCGGATAATGTGCGTCACTAGCTTGAAGAAATTGGGGAGTAGCTGGTCGGCAAGTCGTGAAAAATCCTGCAGCGGCCATAGCAGCAGTGTAGTCAGTGCTTGGCTAATCCGCTCGGTAATCGAAATAAAAAATCAAACTAAACAAACTAAATGCATCACATACTAAGTGTATGTAAGTATAAGTATATATTACGTTGGAAAAAATGGGCCAACAAATATCAAAGGCCTATTCATGTGTGTGCATATCTAGGAGTGGTGGAACTTTAGTCTCACCTTATTCATTCAAGCGGAGGATGACATGCTTAAATATGGAAGCTCTCTGCGTCTAGAGGGGGAAGAGAGAAGGGAACTCCCACACGTGAGCTCACTCACCATGCAGATCGTGACCACGGGCACCTGTGTCAATGGTCCGCCAAATTTCGGCCCATCACCTTTCTGAGACCATGGCCTCTTATTGCAGTTTTAATTTTTGGTTGTTTGGCGTTTAAGTCTGCAAATTGGAAACCTAATCATTTAGATCATGATCGTGATGTGATCTGAGATCATGCAGGTCTTCTCATTATATATGACCTATTTGCCACCGCCATAACGACATCTATTCAAGCTAGGGTTTGCCACTGCTGCACTACCGTCATGGCCTCTCCATCACCCGAGCACTAGCGTGCACCAGCAATCGGGAGAGTGGGTCTCTGGAAACGCTCACCCTTGTGATTCTGCAAGGGGAGAGGGTGAAAAGGTTTTTAGGGAACCGCCTTGGCGTGATTGCTCATAACCTCCCGACGACGGCTCGTCTTTTCGTCCAAGTTAGGTGGTGTCGTGTACCATTGTCTTTGTCGCCGGCTGCTTCGACCCATCTTCACTAACATCATCAACAACACCGTCACTACTCCACCACCACCCTTGCTGTCTCCATATGCAAATGAGAAGTATGTACGCCATGCATGATCTGATCTATATATAATTTCAATACGCCATGACCTAGGGGACAGAAGATGACATCACGCAAAACACGAAGCAATAGGTGCAATCCACAAATCAGGAAGACGAAGGGCTCCTCGAGAAGACCTTAGGGGTTCAATGTGGTCACGAATGTCCTCCCCACGAGGGAAATCTACTTAGCAGTGGTGATAGGCTATTCTGACTGAGGCCTAACTAGGTGGGGATATTTCATCTACTTGGCGGCTGGACAAGGTATAGATCGACCTAGGGGATGTTGGAGTATACAATTTCACTAATTTGTGTAGAACTGAAATGATTTCTTGTAATAAAACTAGGAAACCAACCTTAACAGATTGGGGATTCCTTTGTAAACCCTACCTACGGACCATATAAGGAGAAGTAGGGTGTGCTCGATTGAGAGATCCATTGTCCACCATCATCAGCACCCCTGCTCCCAGCACGGACTGCACAACAACAAAGCTCCCATTTAACTGGACATAGGACACCCTATCCTAAACTAGTATAAACCCATGTCCCAAGTTGTGCTACGCGCGATATGGTAATTATTAGTTGGATGCTAAATCCACCGCCAGGAACATTTTTTCATGCTTGATGATCTATTAAAATAAATATTTGTCCTAATGTCTACATATTTATTTGATCCACATGGTTGAGCATAGCATTGTGCTTATTTTTAATTTAATGGTGGTAAAAGATTGAAATTTAGAAATATATATATGCATATTTTATGGACGCTAAATTAGTATTTACATGTTGATTGATAGATATCTTTTGATTATTTTATGGTTGAGTTGGATAATTCACATATAAATTGCAATGTGTTATTTTATATTATGTTTTGTAGTGTCATATATGGGTAATTTGAATGCGAACTTAGGGTTTGATTTGCATTATCTTTCATAACAATAGTGGTGGGTAATTTATAAAGAATTAGAGGTGTATTTTATATATCTTATATCATGATAAAGTGGATAATTTAGATACAAATTTAGTGAGTTATTTTGAATTCTCTTTGATAATAGCAAAGTTGTGTAACTTAGATGTAAACTTTTGGGGTGTTATTATTTTAGAATATCTTTTATAAGAGAGAAGGTTGATAATTTATATATAAATTCAGGAGTTATTTAAATTATGTTTTTATAATGGTAGAGGTGGATAATTTAGATGTAAAATTATGGTTTACTTTTCGTATTTTTCATAATGGCACATGTGAGTAATGTTTAGAAATTGAATTGATCCAATGTCTATTATTGGAGATAATGATTAAAGTCTATCAATTTTAAGACCGAGGTGTTTCTAATTATTATGAGAATATTTAGATTTTATTTGATGAGAACTAACATAGAGTGTCCTGGCCGGAGTCTCTAATTAGTAAAAGTAAGATATTATATATTAAAAAACAACTTGACCCGTGGGGGTATGACAACCCCAGCCATTGTGCTTAATGAGAAGACTTTCTCACACGAGTCGAGAAAACCCTGAACTTTTTCCCCACCCATACACAGCGGCACCGCGGCTCCCGTAAGACTGGATTGGTCTTAGACCTGTGCTTTGATAAGGGACAGACAAGGTTTTTTTAGGGTGTGACGCGGGACAGCTAGCCATCTGGTCTAGCGTCCACTCACAAGATATTATATATTAAAACTACTTTTTTTATGGAAGCATGTAATCAGGGGGCAGAGAGAGCAAATACCGCGATAACTACACCTTACTTTGATGATATACTAAAGGGAGAGTATTATGAAAATATTTTCTCCGGAGGCCATGGACAAGTATTTTTCTCCGGAGGCCCCGTTCGGCTTGCTGAAACTTGGCTGAAAGTAGCTGAAAACATTGTTCTGGCTGAAATGTTGTGAGAGAAAAATACTGTTCCGGCTGAAAAAAGAAGCCGAACAAGCCGAATATAAGGTAAGCCAAATATAAAATAATAGCTGAATGTGATTTGAAAGACAGCTAAGGCGGACCATTCTCTAGCTACTTGCCTACCGTTAGCTAGTAGGGAGCGAGTCATGATGGGAGGAAGATAGTATATATTTTAAAAATGTGAATAGCTAGGGCATTATATATACTGACCTGGTTGCCTGCATCAAGCTGATTACGGTGATGCACCAAAAGTCTTTCTTGGTCAGCGCTGTGATGAAGCCACCCAGGAGGACTACCGTGGACCACGTAAGCGCCAGGTAGCCTAAGCCCGTCACCGCCTTGAGCAGGTACATATGGAAGAGCACGTACTTGCTCAACAGTAGGTCAAGTTCTTGCGGCAGCGGCAACACGGGAGCACGCCGGCGATTCGGCGTGCAGCATCTGCCGCCGCCGTCCCTCGTCTCTCCTCCGACGCCGCCACCGGCCATCATCGTCCTCCTCAGTTACTACAGTTCGTGTGGAGCCTATTCTATAGATATAGACTCAGCTCATGCATGATTGCGATGGATGGGCTGTATGTGGAGATGGTTGGAAGTTGCTTTAGTTTGTGCCAACGCTAGCATCTCCAGGAGGCGAACTCTTGTGTCTGGGAAGTCGAATCAGATGTTGCCCAAAGAAGCAGCAAAGCCACGATTCGCCCGCTTTGTTTGATCTGTCTATCGCTTTCTCTTTACTACATCTCGGTGGTGATCTGTGTATCGCTTTCTCTTAACTCATGTGATTACCTGAACGGCTCTTGGTCTCGCGGTTCCACGTATTTTCTCGGCTTGCTTAAAATTATAAACCCATATTGTAAATAGCTGAAACAAATACACTATTTTATCAACCCGTCTCCCTGCACAGCCTAGAATTTTAGGTCCCGTTTGGCAGGGCTTCACTTCATTAGTGAAGCCATTTTTTTTGGCTTCAGCTCCACGAACAGCTCCACCGGTGGAGCTGAAGCGATTTTGGTAAACCATTTAGCAAAATGGCTTCCCTGTGAGAGCATGTTTTTAAGGGCCTGGAGGAGGAGCCGGGAGAAGCCACTATTTTTGGCTCCTTCCCACCCCAAAGCTCTGTGAGAACACGTTTTTAGGGGCTTCATCGGTGGAGCCGTTTCATTTTACCCCGTTTGACAGAAAACGGCTCCAAACGGCTCCTGAAGCCGCTGGAGAAGCCCTACCAAACAGAACCTTAGAATACGAGTAAGTGCCCGTGCATGGCACCGAAAAATAAATAATACTATATAATAATTTAAATATGGAAACATGGGTGCTCGAGGCACTGGACGGAACGCGGAGGACCGGAGGGGTGTAGGGGCGAGCGGGGCGAGATTTGTTAGCGCAGACGATAACCACGGCCCGGACGGCCGGTTCCGCGGCGAGGCGTCCTTGGCTCAGCCTCGCACGACGGGCTAGCGGTGTTCCACAGCGAGGTTCTCCTTCGACGAAGAAAGCCTAGGATCTCTCATCCTCTACACCGCCGGTGTGCAGCACGGCAGCGCGGGGCCTAGCGTGAGCTGGCGCATGGCATCTCGGAGCATATGGCACAGATGCCCCGGGCGCCGGACATGGCAGGCATGGCGCGCGTAGCTAACCCTGGTGAGGGCAGGCTCGGTGGCATGCGGTGGCCCAGGCATGGGCGTCGCCAGTGAGCCCCAGCACGGGCGCCTGGGCCAGCAGCTCCATTACGGTGAGGCTAGCTCACGAGTCCAAGTCATGCCGCTGTGGAGAGGGGCCTTGGTTCGGTTTGGTCCCAGTTTTGCGTGAGCGGGGGTTCAATCACGGAGCGGGGTGGAGGGGGGCGAGGGTGCAGGTGCGCACAGACGGTTCCCTTTTACATTTTTTAGGTGTAGAGATATGATGTATTCTATCTTTTGAGGAATGCGATGGCAATGAGAATTCTCTAGTGTGTTATAATAATAGCTGCCAAATCCTGGCTTCACACGCTTCCCGGCTGCCAAGCCGCCGGCATCGGTACGATGTGATGTGCATGATCATCATAGAATCACGGATGCATGGTGTGGCTCTTTCCTTCTTGGTTCTTGCTCCTTGTGCTCTCGCCGCGCACGCCAAGTACCGACAGTGAGGATCATCTCCGTGACGGAGCCTTGGTTCTTGCATGGGCGCTCACGAGAAATCAGCTGTTTACCGGCCTACGACGCATGGAGGCGTGTTAATCAGCGTCCAGTCGATCCCCTCTGGTGGTCGAAGCAGCCACTGCACGCGACGTGCTCCTCCAATCTCTAACTCTGCCGAAACAGCCTCAAGCCACCTGCCTCCTCCCTCGTCGAGAAGACCTCCCTCCTTGCAAAACCCTGGGATGCTAGAGGTAGCGTGTACACCCCATTTAAAATTTGTGGACACTTGCAACTAAGTCATTGCGCTGCCATACACAGCTCATGCACACTACTCTTTAATTTGTTTGAGAAAGGATAAGCGTAGCTACATTTTGGATGAGGGAGTAGTTTTTTATTTATTCGAGGGAGTACTTTGAATAACTACTACTTTTGATTTGGAGTTATTATTAAAAATACTATTTTTTTAAGAAAATGGAACTGCATAAGTTCTATTCACTCGAATGAATGGCCAGATCGTTTTAGTCATGATCAAACAAATGAAATTTTAAGCTATAGAAATTTTAGCACAGATAAAACTACAACTCAGCCATTTTCCTGGCTCCATGGTTAGGAGATTTAAGAAATCCACCTGTCTGAATATGCATATATTATGTGGCAATTCCAGCATGGCTGCTATGTGCTAATAATGTAAAACATTAAATACCATGTACCAAACAAATTGTACCATCAGTTATACACTTCAGCAAAATACTCCTTTTTTTTCGAAAGCGTGCATTGGCACGTGCTTCATTAAGGAGAAGTAAGATACAAACACGTCCGGGGTTGCAAAATGGCGAGATGCCAATTCAGCAAAATACTCTGAAAGTGAGATTTATGCCCATATATAGGCCAAATAGCTGATATGATAATCATAAAAAATTGGAAAAAAATATTACATGGCTTGATAAACCAGGTACAGCCAGATGGATTGAACTAGATACGGTGCCAATTCTAAAATTCTCCTATTAGCTCCATCATAAAGTCTCACTCAAGAAAACACCATAATTATATTGTCAGACCGCAGAGAGAACGGAAATAAACCATCAACAGCCAATATATCTCACTGACTGTAACCTAAAGAAACATGATAGCACAAAATAGTTTAGACCAGCATTGAATGATAAAACACAAAGTTTCAGCTATACTCCATGTGGAAATTTCAAGTATCATATAAAAGGCTTCCCAGGACAGAGTGTTTATGATCAGCATTCAAATATAATATGACAATATTATGTACAAGCATGGAGTAGGGTGAATATTGTTTGGGAGCTAGCTTTCTAGACATGTCAGTTGAATTTTCTGCTAAAACTCCAAAGAGCACCCCTGTGGACATGTCCTACCAGCAGATCAGAATTTGATTCATCAAAAGAAACAATCAGTTACACACATACATTCAAAATCACAACAACATAACAAGGTAGTCAAACGTAACATCATATGAAGAAAAAAGAAGAAAAAAATCCCATGGTAAAACTTCGTGCGTCTATAATGCATAAAACAAGACCTTAATGGATTCAAAATTTGACCCACAAAGTAAGGCACTGTGTAGAACTGTTTGACACTGTACCCATGCGTGCTTTTGAGGGTATCCAAGTCAATTTTTCTTCGTCAGTAATATGTCCTTCTTTATGGAACTGGAAGGAGTAGCTAAAGGCAAGCACTAGTGATATGTTCCCGTGTAAACAGCGTCTTAAAATGTTTCCATTAGTGAACATATTTGAATGGCGAGCAGCACGAGCTATTTTAAGTTTTATAGACAGGCAAGGGCATATCGTGCTTGCCCTCTTAATAGAATGAGCATCTTTATGCTTATTTAATTTAGGACTTCACTGCATCAAACATAGGTGAAATGTAGAAATGCAAGGTTGAGAGAAAAGTTGTAACTTACCGGGGAACTGCATCTTCTAAATGGTCTGGATGTTAAATTGCTTGAGACTACTAGTAACAAGGGTACTAAAGATTAGCTTTGAAGTTCTTTGAACCCTTTCATCAATCTTAACACATTTTATTTCTAAAATCTTTAGTTGTCTCAATTCAATCGGCTGTTCAGTTGGACTGTAGTTTTCTGCTTCCAGTGCACATTTTTCTCTCTGTAGCATTTGAAGAAGTTAAAACAAAAATCACCCATGCTGGCATGCATGATACATATTATATCTTAAACAAGGGAATAAATTAACAGCTGTATATGTAAGATATATGTACCTGACAGACTTGCAGAGTGAGCTTCTCAAGATTTGGTGTGTGTTGGAGAAAGGAAAGTAATGCACCAAGGTCTCCAGCCAAACACCAATCAACAAGATAAAATGTTCTTAAGTTGCAAAACGTAGGGCACCATTTCAAGTCCTTTTTTAAAGTACACTGAATTGCAAATGGATAAATCTACGTCAAAACATAAACTTAAGATGTGACTATGCAATTATATATACTGACGTGGACAATGAAAACAGAATATATAACCACCTCATTTATGTATTATAAGTTCATCAACATTTACACAGAAAGGAAAATCATCAACTTTTCTAATTTAGTCATTAGTCATGAACAGAGAAACTGAAAGAACTGAAGCGCAAACAAATTATGGACCCACATCTATAAAATCTTCAGCACAACCTGATCTTTCAAACACATTGATGCATAGCAATTCACTTGGACTTGACTATTTTTCATGTTACCAAATTTAATAGCTGGATAAGTATATCATGAACTGACAAATTGAAAGAACTGAAGTGCACCGCAAATGAAGGACACACATCTGTAAAAGCTTCTTACATATATCATTGTATATCACCGTAACCTGATCATTAAAAGCACATTGATGGATATCAATTCACTTTAACTTCACTAATTTTCATGCATGCTACCAAATTCTATAGATGGATATAGGAATGGCATGAAGATTTACCTAATACATTGAAGGAGGGTTATTTTACGTACCATTCCAAACGACGCTCTGAACCTTAGACTTGTAGCATTTGACAAACCTCTAAGAAGGACGCACGTCACGCACCCATCCATATGGTCAGCAAGGTCTTCATCACAATTCAGGCATTCACCCTCACAGCAAGAACCCGCAGAACAAGGTTTCTCACATTGATCCTCAAAGGCGCAGCGAACCCAAATAGATGCGGCTTGCAAAGGTGGCATGCATCCAAGCACAGGTGCTCTATTTTTAGCCAAAAGAGACTCTGGGCAGAAATACTAGAGTGTCCATCGAATGGAGATTCGTTAACACCAAAGAGCACTTGACAAAGCACAAACGTTTTGCAGATGGGGAGATGAAGTTCTAGAGACTAGTGGTCTGGGACGTCCCGGTCTGACATGGGCCTGCTGAGGCTTAGCCCAGTTAGAGTCTGGCTATGCCTTTGATCTAGACACGGCCATACACAGGCTTAGTCAGCCCAGACTGGTCCATGGGCCCAACAAGCCCGCTCCTACGGCTGGAGCCGTGCCGCCAGGCCTGCTTGTCTGCGGGAAAGGAAGAGGAGCCGATGTTGGAGTAGCGGGTGGATGGGAATCTATGGTGGAAGGGGGAACACTGTGTGGTGCTCGAGATGTCAAATGTGTTTATGTGGCGGGCGGTATTGGAGTTAGGGGCCGTTCGTTTCGCCAGGAATGACTGCATGGAAGGATTCCTGGCCGGAACTGTTAGCTAATTTATATAAGCCTTAACTTCCTGGAAGGAATCCTAGCCTCATTTTGCTCTAACCGAACGAGGCCTTAGTATTTTCAGCGGAATGAAAACACACTGTGGGCCTGTTTAGTTCCGGTGGGAATCCAGAATCCAGAATTCTAGTTTTTTGGCAATCCAATTTTCAGAATCCAAAAAATCTTATGCACATGTTTAGTTCAACCAAAAATCCAGAATTCAGAATACAAATATTACAGATTTGCCCTCATCCCCATGCACCATGCATGCTGGTGCTTCTAACCATGGACGTTGCTGCTGCTTCTTCACAGTGGCTTGCATGCTGCTTCTTCCATGCAAGTCAACGATCAATAGCTCACAAAGCTACAGTTCACAATGTCGATGTTGCCTTCTTCCATGCCACAAATCAAACAATTTTGATAAAATTCGACCACAGCTTAACAGTTCACAAAGGGCATTTCACAAACACAGTTCACATTTCACATGTACTAAATTGTTCATAAACCAGTTCACAGTTCAAAGGTCACAGTTTTACACAAACCAGTTCACAGTTCACATGTTTTACACAGTTCACAGTTCACAAACACAGCTAACAGACCAAGTTCAAAGTGCCAACAGCGAGCGATTACAAAGAACGATTATACAGCCCAACAGCATTCGATTCACGAAACGCATTCATCACTTCTGCATCTTCCCTTGACGGTGCCAGAGTAGTTCGTGGCTGAGAGTATGACGCTTCAGGTGGGACGTAATTCTCATCACGATCACAAAGTGCAAAGTCCCTATCCACTAATCCACTATCTCTAATGAAGTTATGTAGTGTCATGCAAGCAACAATTATTTTGGTCTGGACATGTGGAGGATAAGCAGGGATCCGTAGCAGAATCCTCCATTTCATTTTCAGTACTCCAAAACACCTCTCT